AGATGGTTGTCCCAAAATTGTTAATCTTGGGAGCGCGAAAACCGACTTGTTCTATGAACGTAAGAAATACGGTTTTAAGAAACGATGACCATAATTGGTTGATTATGTAGCCAAAAATTACCAAAATGACAGCATTTTTTGAATGTTGGAATTATTATGAGTCTTCAGGTGTTTAGATTTGTCTATTAGATATGTTTCCTTAAAGAACTATATCTGTCGCTGAAATAGCTAGTCACATTGCTTATGGCCATTTATTTACTGATTTGCACTCTTACGTGATTTGTATCTTGCATCTATATATTAATATGAATGATTTGATTCGAGATGTTTATGTGCCTTCATTTTTTGCTCATGTGCAGCCCTATTGGATCTTGTTTCACAGTGTGAAGTAAAGTAATTCTCTTTTATTCCGCCGAGTCTCGTCTTTTGTCAGGCACATATCATTATATCTTTACTTGTAAGATTCCTCGTTTATGTGATTCTTAGTTCTTTGGTGTCGCACTATGAATTCTCCCCACTCCATTTCATTCCATATAATCATAAACAACGAACTTTTTATGAAAATTCATAAAATATAAAAAGGAACTAATTAAATGATTAACTTAGGAATTAATTGAAGGGCTAGATTTGCTTTGATGTAGCGCACTGATCTTGGTCCTTTTATAATTCTTCCATCAGGCTATAAGTGAATCTGGAACCCATTGTTATGGCATTGTTGTTGCTATTGGTCATTGAGTTTAAACTGGTCGGTAGAAGGGATGGTCTTCATATGAGATTGGACCCCTGATGCTTCTGGTTCATCAACAGTTGATGGAAATGAGAGTGTTGCATTTGCCAAACTGATGCTATTGTTTAGGAACACTAGATGACTGGATTTTCTTAGTTTTTCTAGCCCTTCTCCTTGTATACCCCAGTCTCGTTTGCCATCAGGGGAGCTCCAATCTGAAAGGTTAGGAGGCATTATGCCCACTAGAGATGCTAGTGTAGAATACCTTGAATGAAGATTTATGTTATGGTGCTCAATAACCCTCGGAGACATTATGCCGACTGGAGATGTTGGTGTAGAATATCCTGACTGATGATTTATGGTAGGACGCTCGATAACGCTCAGGGTTCGCTTTGAACTTGAAATTGATATTGCAGTTGTTCCGGATGGTTCAACCCCAAGAGAGGATGCTAGGTTCGTTGGGTAGCTAGAGCGGATCTGATGGTTAATATTCAGGCGCATTTGAACTCTAGTTGGTGATTGCAGTTGAGAAGTAGCCTCGAATGAAATTCCTTGAAGCGAGGACTTAGTAGTAGTATCGAGAGATCCAAAAATATCTTCAAGTTTAGTCGGCTTTACCCCTCCATACTTATTTAACTCCCCGGACGATAGATTAGTCAAACTGGTCGAAGAGAAAAACCATTTATCTCATCAATTAGTTGTTGTTGGTGGTGGTGTCGATGACTTTCTGAATTGAGCATTTCCATGTTTAAATCCTTACCTCAAGCACTTCGTGCAGCTTTCATCCTACTATTACTAGGAAGTTGCAAGGTAGGAGGTATCATGCTAGACTGGTTCGACCACATCCCTACACCAATAGAAGAGGTTCCGGTAGGAGTCAAGGGTGGTGTTGATGTTGGAGGTTTTATAACAAATGGAGAAGCATGAGCAAATGGGCTTATCGAGCCATGATCAGGATTAGCTGAATATGATGTTGGTGAAGGTAGTGCTGAACCTATCGAAGTATACAAGGGACGGAGCTCCTCTAGCTTATGAGCAAAGAAACATACCTTCCTAGTGCAATTAGTCTCATCCTTGCATAGACGAGTTCGATATTGCGCGGGATGAAGCCATGATTCAAAAATACCATGTGCATACTCACAGTTATCGCCATGCTTGCACGATCCCTTATGAAATTTGGGACAAGGGACACAACTATAAAGATATTTCCTAGGATCATGCCTCCTTGCGTTCTCCCCCGGATGAACAAATGGACACTCGGTCCAGTCATGAAAGTAAGCCCTCGAGCAAGGTTGGGCCTTGAAGGTGTACATCCTAAACTCATTTGTCCCGTATATCTCGTTCTTGATATCAGGAAGAGCAAGATCATAGAGATAATCTTTCTTCTCATTTCCATCTTTCCAAACTCGGGGAGTCAAATTCGCTTGTTGCTCAAACCCTTCCATCTCTGTCGTTACTTGAGCTAGCAAACGCTCTCTTTCACTGTTACTTCCGCTTGCTTTCGAAAAAGCATCCAATATCATCTTCCTTGAGTTGAAGTCCGACTTGCAACAAGTTAGAGCAATCAAGTCACTGGGGCGGTTTCCATTGGCATCAACAGAATTCATATCAGCAGAAGCATCAAGCAAGATTCTAACGACCTCAGGTGAATGAGAGGAACCACCAGCAGCAGCAGCACAATGTAGAGCCCTGACCCCCATCAGAACCACAAGCCTTGTTAACGTCAACACGACCAGTTTTGACGATATAATTCACCACATCCTTGCACCCGAAGATCGAAGCAATTAAGAGGAGTTCTTTCTTCAAATCCCATCGTCTTTGAGCCTATTCTCCTCCCATACCACAAGCATAGTTCATCAATGTCATGACCCCCTTCCTCAACAGCAAATTTGAAGTCGATTAGATCATTCGAAGCCGACTACTCGAGTAAATCCGAGGACTTTTGAGGAACCCCATTTTGATTACGAGACTCACCGTCCATTTTAATTTGAGCTGGTTTCTTCGTTGAAATATTGCACATGAAAATTTCTTTTATGAAGAAGATGGCTTTAAATATTTTATTTTTTAGAATATTGAAATAGGATGTGGTAATCTTGGAGAAAATACAAAAAATGTAACATATAAATACGATGGCTTTTTAGTAATTTCTAGTAAGTTGATTATAACATGACTAGGTGGATGCTTAGTTGTTTGAATAGAGTAGGTTCTGTCTTTTAACGAAAAAAATATATTTTTGAATATAGTTTTTAAAATAAGGAAACAAATATATTTAAAATAAAAATATTAACAAGATATGAGAACACAAAGCTGTACTACTATTACTTAACTCAGCCGGCTATATCAACTTGATCCTATTTTCACGTTGAAAAATAGTTTTTCAATTTAAATAACTGAAAATGATACCAATAAAATTTAGAAAAAATAAACTATTTTAGGTAAAAATTGAGATACATGTTATAGAATCTAAAAGCATATGTCTTTTGTCTTGTTTTGATTCTTTATTTTTAATAGTACGATGTGATTATAAGGTAGTATATATTTATAATCTTTCTTAATCATTGACAACGTATACACACTCTGTAGACGTAACTACTCAAATTCAGGACTTAAGGAGAATAACACTCTCTTTAACCAGCAAATGAAAGAGTATATTATGATTGAAAATGAAGTATTTTGTTTAGCCACGTTTTGATGTAACAATACGTAAAAAAATAGATATAATGGCTAAAATAATTTTGAGTATTATATGAAAAAACTCATAAATAGAGAAGAATATTTTTTTATGATCAATGATAAATTATAAAAGGATTATACAAAAGTATATCAAATCACAGTCTTAGTTATATATGTATAATTGTACAATTATAGAGAATAATTTTATCATAGTTTTTATTAGAGAATGTGATCGGAGAAACGACGATTAGAATTCAAATAAAATTTTTATTACAATATTATAAAAAATATTAAATTAATATTTCATTAAATTTCTGGATACCCTTTTTGCTCTAGGTCTCTAGGGCAAATTTCGATACCCTTTTTAGGTCAGCATTGCCTCTCTCCCTTCTTTACTTTCTTAATTTATTCTCCTCGAATTCCTGTTTTTGCTAATAATATTTGGTCCAAAGGTTGTAGTTTCACAAGCATTTTTTTTCATCAAAAAATGATTTTTATGATTGTTTCTTAATGTTTAAATTTCTATATATTTTAGATATTTTCTTTTTAATTTCTATTAAAAACATATTTTTGCTTTTTAGAATTTTATAGGTATGGTTACCCTTAAATTTTATAAGTTTGTCCCCTAGCATAAAATCACACGTCTGTGCCTTATGGCAAATGTGTAATATGCGATTCCTATGCTCGTCCTTGGACGCTAGTTCGGGTTTGTGATGAACGCAACTATGGTTCGCTTCAAGGTAGGTGTGTTATACGAACGTAAGAAATACGATTTTAAGAAACAATGACCAAAATTTGTTGATTATGTAGGTAGGAATGACCAAAATGACAAGATTTTTAGAAATGTTGGAATTATAACGAGACTTCAGGTCTTTAGATTTGTGTTAGATATGTTTCCTTCAAGAACTATATCTGTCACATTGCTTATGGTGGTCTATTTACTGATTTGCTCTCTGTTGGAAAGCTAGATTAAGATTTAATGTTCAACAAACATTGAATGCTTTTCTTATTAATTCCAGTGATCGTGTACATGGTTTTATAATAGCTAACAGAAGCTTGGCACAATTCTAGAAGCTCTGTAACTTCCTCAACTGACTGCTAACAACACTAACTGCTCTTAACTAACTCTAGCTATTTAGTTCTAATATTCCCTCTACTTTCTCTTCCTCCTTCAACAAGGTAACATACACATCTTAGCCTTGAACAATTGAAAAGATGAACAATTGAATCGAAAGTAAGGATGCTTCCTTCCGTTCACTTGAATCGAAAGTGCCGATGCTTCCTTTCGTTCTTCTTGAATCGAAAGTGCCGATGCTTCCTTCCATTCACTTTGAATCGAAAGTGCTGATGCTTCCTTTCGTTCTTCTTATTCACTTCATTTATTTCTTCTTCACCCTCTTTTACAAGGTTCTTGACATTTGCCTATTCTAAAAAATTCTTAAAAAAACTTTTGATGTGAATGAACATGCACCCAAAAAAAATTCTAAAAAAAAAACCTTATTCTATAACAATAATGTGAAACAAACCAAACACCAACAACATCATTGAAACATTTGCCTTAGGCGTCTTATGGCCATTGACGTTGAAACGTCTGAGGATTTTAGATTCCCCCCTCGTTAGATTCTTTGGCCTCGCCTTCGATGACCAGAGTGTTCTGTTCCAAGGACACTTTGACATCCTCTTTCCCGAGCCCAGGCATGTCAATTCGACAGTTCAAGGCGTCTTCCGTTTCCTTAACGCTCCAGCTTCGGCATAGACCCCCTCCCATGCCACGCGATGCAACCACAAATGGATTCTCCATGAATTGATTCATCATGTTCAGGACTTGGCTCAGGTTCCTCGCTGGGGAGAAAGGATCAAACACATCTGAGAAGAAACCATCACTACGGCGAGAAAGTGAGCGTATGCCGCGACGATCATCGCTGAACTCACTATCGTCATTGTCGCTATCGAACTCATGCATGGCGTTTCTGTTAAAGAGCCTGGAGGTCGTTGAAGCGATGGCCACTGGGCGTACCATGCGCAAGGAGCTAGGGAAGAAAGTTTAGAAGCGTGAAACCAAAATTCCCAGGACTTTGGCGAAAGATACCATGTTGGAAAGCTAGATTAAGCTTTAATGTTCAACAAACATTGAATGCTTTTCTTATTAATTCCAGTGATCGTGTACATGGTTTTATAATAGCTAACAGAAGCTTGGCACGATTCTAGAAGCTCTGTAACTTCCTCAACTGACTGCTAACAACACTAACTGCTCTTAACTAACTCTAGCTATTTAGTTCTAATACTCTCTTATGTGATTCGTATCTTGCATCTATAGGTTAATACATTTGATTCAATTCAAGATGTTTATATGCCTTTGTTTTTGCTCATCTGTAGTGCTATTGGATCTTGTTTTATAGTGCGAAGTAAAGTAATTCCCTTTAATTCCGCCGAGTCTCACCTTTTGTCAAGCACATACTATTATATTTTACTTTTAAGATCCCTCGTCTATGTGATTCTTAGTTCTTTGGTGTTGCGCTATGAATTCTCCCCACTCTATTTCATTCCATATAGTCGTATGCAGTTAATTTTTTTATGAAAATTCATAAAATTATAAAAAGGAACTAATTAAATTATTAACTTAGGTATTAATTGATGGGTTGGGTTTGCTTTTATGTAACAGACTTATCTTGGTCCTTCTATAATTCTTCCATCCAAGCAATAAGAAAATTTGGAACCTCGTTGTAATGACATTGTTGTTGCTACTAGTAATCGAGTCTAAACTAGTCGACAGAAGGGATGGTGTTCATGTGAGATTGGACTCCAGATGCTTCTGGTTCATCACCGGTTGATGGCACTGAGACTGTCGCATTTTCCAAACTGATGCCATTGTTTAGGAACATGAGATGACTAGATTTTCTTGGTTTGTTTAGCTCTTCTCCTTGTATACCCCAATCTAGTTTGCCATTAGGGGAACTCCAATCTGGAAGGTTAGGAGGCATTTCGCCCATTGGAGATGATGGTGTAAAATTCTCTAATGAAGATTTATGATAGGACGCTCGATAATGTCCAGAGGCATAGCACCAATTGGAGATGCTGGTGCAGAATACCCGGGGTCTGCTTTGAACATGGAACTGATGTTGCAGTTGTTCTGGATAGTTCAACCCCAAAAGTTGGAGATGTCATTACAGGAGAGGATGCTGGGTGCGTTGGGTGGTTAGAGCGGAGCTGGTGATTAATATCCGGGCACATTTGAACTACACTAGGTGCGTTGTGTGATGTATTGGTAGGGGATTTGGTGGTGCAACAGCACGAGTGATTTCATCAAAAGTCAAAACAAGGAATGTCCCATGTGATTCCATATGACATGACCTTTGAAAGACGCCCACGTTCCCTCCGTTGAGCAACTGACTACCTTTGCCGGACCCAACAATAATAACAAATGACCCTCTCCAAGGGCTGCTCATGTCTTCACCATCCCCAAATTTAATACGAGTTTTTGTAAGAAAAGCTCACCATTCTATCAAGTGAACACTTATGTTTCCTACCCTAGAAAAACATTTGATAATATATTCCTTATAGTTTGTAATTTTAATCTAATAATTTGTGATCAAGTCGAATGATTTTTGAAATGTTGAGATCAAAGGCACTGTTAATTGAGTCTTAGGAAGCTTTTCTAGCTTAGATAGAAGGTTAGGCATTTGGGGGCTTTGTTGAGAAGAAGCGCGACTGTTTTGTTGTAGACGGGGAGAGAATAAGGAGAGAAAGCCAGAGCTCTAGCATATAATGTTTTTAAATGTTCGTTATTTATATATCAATTAAATAAATTATGGATTTTTGGTTCATCAAATAATACTTTTTTATGTGTTTAAAACAGTTTCTTTGATGAACCAATGTTATGCTAATCCAAACATATATTATATTAAAAACCAGCTCAGGAATTTAGCTCTCTACCTCAGCCCCGTGACTTGACAGATCAAACAACAACTAAAACGGAACACAAACTGAACGCGCTTCCTATTTTATTAGTAATCTTTTTTTCATTAATTCCTATGTACTCTTATGATCAATACATAATCTTCAAATTCTCTTCTGTTGGTGTGCCTAAACAATACTAGAGAAGAAGAAAAAAAACATTTTTGGGATGTGGCAGGTATGATTGAAGTACATTTAAAAGGTGTCCCAAAGTGAAATCTGGTAGTAAGAGCTTGAGCAAGACAGATAGAAAGATGAACACTTTAGGTCTGAAAAAAGGGTATTGCTTTGCTTTTATCCAAGACATTGTTCCAAACTAACATCACTGTTTTTCATGGGATGGGACCACATGCTTCGCACCTGTCTGGATTAATGTCTTCTGTATTCTTTTATTATGCTCTCTCCCAAGCTCCTATGTTTTTGCTTTTTCACTCTTCTTCGATGAGAAATATCAATAAACTACCATATCTGTAATGACCCCCACACCCTTCTCCTTCACCATTACCCTCCTTGCCACCATCATTGTCTCATTAACGACGGAATCCGATGTTGTTGCCGCTATCGGATCAGCCTCCATGGTTGCTGTCACATTCAGCACGGGCACCGTTTGTGGGATTATAGCTGGTGATCCAACACAGAGAATCCAGTGCTACCAAAATGGACTAAATGTTTCAGCATTGCCGAACGTATCGTTTAAAGCAATCTCCGGTGGCAGAACCTTATTTTGTGGCCTTAGATCAGGTGGTTTCAGGCAGCATCCACTGTCGGGAGACTCAAACTTTGGTGAACTCGTCAAGTTTCAGGCCTAAACATATATATTCGAACTACGAAGCCCCGTTGACCGACTTGGCCGTGGATGATGACCATGTTTGTGCTAGAGAAGTCGGTTCGGGTATTGCTAGATGCTGAAGAGGAAAGGAAGCCTTGTCATTTCCGTCACCGGGTGTTGGCTTAAAATTTAGTGGAATCACCTCAGGGAGTGGTTTTAGTTGTGGGATTCTGAGGAATGATAGTAAAGTTATCTTTTGGGATGGTAATAAGATTGGAGTTGAAATCCAAAGACAACTTGGTAACTTGTCAATGCCGAGTTTGGTCGTTGGAGATTCACATGCTTGTAGATTGACTAGTGTTGGGAAATAACTGACTAATTTCCCTATAACTAGATTAGTGAAAATGCGAAATAAAAACGAAAAAAATACCCGAAATTGATAATGGAGTTCAGCCAATTTTGTCTATGTCTCCAGACTGCTGTAGATCTTTTACTAAAGAGAGAAAATTTACAGGTGTTTACAAAACATTCACAACTCACAAGAGAACTCTCTAAACTCTTTAGTATTGGGAGGAAGAAATGATTTGGGATGATTTTGAAGCTAAATGAGTTAGGGTATTTATAGTTGAAGCTTAAGGACTAATCTTGTAAATACATTAAAGTACAATGACTAAATGTGTGATTTTACCATTATCAAATTATCAAAAATTTCAACTTAATTTTGACAATTTGTTGCTGCCACCGAAATTGCCTCCAAAATCCAGCAAAAATTGCCCACTAATTTTGGCTTCTAAAATCTACCGAAAATTGCCCACCAATTTTAACTTTTCCAATAATCTTCCACTTGAAGACTGATTTTAATCTGTCTTCACACCTCAATTAATGCTGCAGCATTTCTGGTTTTATTATTCTAGCATGCCAACTGAAGCTGAACACAACTTCAATTTGTCTGTAGTCACCGCCCTGTAAACCCACTTGTTATTGGGCAGTTTCTCCGTGGTTGCCTTGTCCCTCAACGTATTGGCTCCCTTCGACTCTTGTCCACTAGTCTTTGAAAGATTGTTCCTCACTTGAACATCCTCGGTAAGCCCTTGCTTCGACTCTTCTCTTATGATAGTCTCTGAAGCCATGTTCTCTACACGAACATGCTTGACAAACTCCATGGACACGAAAAACTCTTCTTGTACTTGGCTTCTACTCGCCTTGGCAGAAACAAACCGTACTACACCAAGTCTTAATGCCTCTTCGATCATGGGTTCGTCCTCTCCTTTGGACAACTCAATCCTGGGCTCATCCATCACATTGGATGACTCGGTTCCCCTCGGGTAATCTTGCAACACCTCTGGCATCTTAAGTCTGCGCCCCCTCGTTTTCTCGACTCTTACCCTCGGCTTCGCATCTTTGACACTTGAACTTGTGTCAAGACTGCACACATCTTCTCCAGATCCACCATCTGGTTCGTCGTTGAGTGGATTTTCACTGCCACTCGAGGAACAACATTCCTCATCCTTCGACTTGCCTTCATCATGGAATCTCTTGTCACTACCCTCGGATTTTGACTTTGCTTTGGAAGTCTTGTTCTTCTTGACTCCAAATTCCTTGAGGGACTCGGCGGTTGTCAAGGCTTTAGAGAACTCATTGACTTCCCTTCGCTCTAGTACTTTCTTTGCCCATGGCTTCAATCCGAACATGAAGCTGAAGAACCCATCTTCTTTAGTCAAACTTGGGACTTTATCTCTTGCTATCGCACCGGGTTTCTTCTTGTGCTCGACTGCTTTGACACCTGCAGTCTCATCACGTTTTGATCCTCGATTTACTACTTGTGAACTTGTAGTCTCACCATCCTTGTCCCATGATTCGACTACTTTGGAACATGTAGCCTCATCAAGTCTTGCCCCTGCCTTGATTGCTTGAACACTCGCAATCGCATCGTGTAACATCCCAAAATACGGGTAAGTGACTAAAATTGTAAAATTTCAGAATATGGTGATTAAAGTGTAATAGTTTAATAGTTTAATGATTTGTTCAGAAATATTTTCCTAAAAGTTTATTGTAATTATCTAATGAATTAAAGGGTAAAATGGTCATTAGACTTGAAATTATAATTAAATGATATATATATGGATAAGGATGGAGAGTTTCCAGAAAAATCTCCTCTCTTTTCCTTCTTCATTTTTCTCTTCTCCACGTGTGAAGCCAAGCAAAGGTGAGTTTCTCTTGAGCTGATTATGGGCTGAAATTTAAGTTTAGTTTTGATTATTAGATGCTAAGTAAGATTAAGGAAGGATTGATTTGCTTTAAAACAACAAAATGAAGAGTTTATGAGGATTTAAAGATTAAGAGTTTTTGAATGAAATATTGAAATAAAGTTTATATTGAAAATTGAGAGTTGAATTGACTTGTCATCAAGTTAATTAAGGGATAGGAAGTGTTAGAATAGGAATTTGAACATGTTGCAAAACTAGTAGAATTTTTGTAATTACATAGGAATGACTAGATTTGAAGTTAAAGAAGTGATTGTGGAATAGAAATAAGTTTCAGTATGTGTATTAAAGTTAGGAGTATTAAAGGAAGTAAAATAGGAAGGTTTGAGTTGAAAATTGATGATTTTCGAGCTTAGAATACAATTTCTGGGCAGAGGGAACCGATACCCTATGAATGGGAATCGATTCCCCCTCTTGAACGAAAAATTCCAGATTGTTCAGGGGGTATCGATTCCCCTGGGGGGGGTATCGATTCCCCCCTAAATGAAAATTCAGAATTCGATTTATTAAACCGGTTTAAGTTATTAACATCAAGTTTAAAGTTTAGGCTTCTGATAGTTGTTTTGAAATGATATATTTATGTAGATATTGAGCCTAAACAAGTTTCGGAATAATCAAGGGATTATAATCGAATCAAAGCAAGGCTAAGGTGAGTGCAATTTAAATTGTACTTATGTGATTGATCAAACATTGGCTTGCGATGAGTCAATGATAGAGTTACTATGGTAAAGAGTAACTTATATAATGTTATGTGATTACTATGGATGCATTAGTACCTAGAAATGGATGTAGGTTTGTATGTTACATGATTTACATGCTTACATGAAAATGCAACATATGATATTAGATATGTGCTTACACATACATTTGATATGTGATAGAAGAGAAGGAATATGTGATTATGATATCAAGGATTACACGTACATGTGATACGTGACTGAAAAGAAAAGATATGTGGTTATAAGAGAAAGAATATGAATAAGTAATGTGAACG